TGGGCGGAAATCAATGCCATGATCGAGGACCTTGGTATTCATCGGTTTCAACCTGAGGCAACCTTATCTTTCAGTCCGACCGCGTTGACAATTGGCACTTGAGGAAGACGCAAGAAAACATTCATCGATTTGTCAGCTACATCGTCTCCCTCGTGAAGTTGTCATATCACGCAAATGCCGTTGAAGCTTCGCGAAAGGGAATTGCCGCATTGAACAGGGTGAAAAGGTTTCGGTACTGTTGGGAAACCGGTGAAACCGTCAAGGTCCCCGACTCATATTTGCAGCTCATCAGTGAGTTTGCGGAGCAGCGCATGGCAAGGTTTCAGCGCGCTGCAGGTCAAAGCAGGCAGTTCGCCATTGAAGAAACTCAGGCATTTAGCCCTTTCGAATCCAACGACGTGTCCGTCGACGAATTGCGTGCCTCCGTTAACCTGGAAGGCGAAGACCCACAAGATGTGCTACAATATGTCAACATCATTCCCCTCGTGGAGCTCCCGGAAGAGCAGGCCGCCTTAGATGAAGAGATGATCGAAGGCACTACCGCCGACGTAAATGTCGAGCCGAAAGTTGAAGAGACTGAGGAGGGCGCTGCTGTACCGGACAGCAACATGGGGAACGATGATTCAGTACCCGGGCTCGCAACAACCTCCGCAGGCGTAAATGCCTTGCCACCCAAGCCAGAACAAGATCAACAAATGATGGAAATTGAGGCCCAGGTATTGGATGTATTGGCAGACGAAGCAATGGCCAATGAAGGTGACGAAGCAGATGCCCAAATGGTCCCTAACACAAGCGACGATCCTGTTCCAGGTCAGTCAACATCTTCCGCGTCAAGGCCACCTTTACCTCGCTTGAGGGAAAAGGGACAGGGGCAGGGCACACCTGCACAGGCTCCCGTAACGGGGAGCTTCCTGAAACCAGAGGACAACGACGATTCCGACCTGAAGTTTTCTGGAAAAGGGAAGGGCAGACTCATTCGTGAGATCAAACCCGACCCTGAGTACAAAAACGTGCAGGTTGAAATCGAAGAGGTCCTTGGCAAGTCTCCTTACCCGGACCACCTGTTGAAAGCCATCGGCAATGGACATATTCAACTTCTTGAAGAAGATTTGGGACGAAACGCAAAGCAATATACTTTGTACCACATTACAGGACACAGGTATTACTATGAATACGAAGACAACCGCGGCTTTCCGTGGGAGTGGGATTGTTCGTGGCCCAAACACATCCGTAGAGGGATTTCTGGATTGTTGAGGGGACACGTGAGGGATGTTTCGATCTATGATCCCGCTTGTTACCTTCCTGTGTACAAGTTATTGCAGCTTGCGAAGACAAAGTTTCCCGACTACGCAGAGAGCTTCAATCTTTATGAGTTGATTTCAATGGCGCTTTACGATGGCAAAGATCGCATTGAATTTTTACGTGTATATGATTCAAAGGTCAATGAAGAGCTCGAGCTGTGGGCAGCACCCGTCAAGGTCCGTTGTGGACAGGGGCATACAGATGACGTGCTGGAGACACGTTCAAATGAGGTTCTAGCAAAAGTAATTTATTGCCGACCCGACCATGCCCATCGATACAATCGGCGACTTACAGCCCATGGCAACCGCGACATTCCTCCTCGACTGTATCACAGGACACACGAGGAAGCGGCGCGCTCTATCATTGCGAACGGACTACTTCCTGGTGCAAAAGCCGGCGGACCCAAGAGCAAGGGTAACTCCTTTTTCTCCATCCTACCTCTGGGAGACCAGAAGGCGATGTCAGGAGTCCGTGCAAATCGACCCGTTGAAATTTGTTTCTCTACAGCAGAAATTATCGAGGTGGGCGTCGACCTTTTCTTGACGAACTCGAACGCAATGATCACAAGTCATCATGTTCCCAACACGTGCATCTTGTTCGCTACCCGTGCCCGCGTAAATGCGGAGCCTGAAGTATTTTATTCAAGGCCACAAGCTATTGATCCGGCGAACATGGAGGTTGGGGCTCAACAGGACGATATCAGTTTAATTCCAGGTGAAATTTCAGAAGCGCGTACCGTTTTGGAAGGCATCAATGAAACGACACCTGAGGAGCATACAGCTGCAAGCAGTGCCACCAAGAAAGGGACCATGGAGGCCAACAACGATACCGCAGTCCCGCGAATCGAGAGCGGGTATTTCCTCCACCTCCGCACGTTTAGTTGCGACAAGTGCGCAACCCTTTCCTTAGCAGGAATGGCGTCATGCCACAGGTGCGGAGCGGTCTTTCAGGGTGGTTCAACTGATGGTCCTATTTCCAAGTTTATGAGATTACAGATGCGACGTGCAAAGACGGTGCAACAGCAGGGGGGTGTTCCCACCAATATGACATCTACCAGCATGCTTGACAGCGTTGCCGGACAAGATCAGCCAGGTCGTCCTCCTGCTCGTGGCAATCCATCGGTTGATAGTCAAATCATTCTTTCAGCACGAGGCCGTCTTCGCCGAGCTCTGAAAGCAGGATATGAAAATGTTTATGATCGGTTCAACCGAGATGATGTCTTCGCCACCTCCTTAACCGGAGAGGGATGCACTGCATTTGATGCATCGCTGCAGTTGCCGGCGCCTTCTCGATCCGCCAAACAGCGATCGAAAGGGAAGTCAGTTGTCAGCGATTTGGACCGACAGGACAGGGTCGACCTTGCCAAGCTCGCGTACATTCGATGCGGTGTCGACAACCTCCATACCTGTTTCAAGCAAGGGCTCGACGAGAATTTCCTCATTAGCTATCGTCGCGAATTTTTGTCCCTTCGACAATTTGCTGCCGTAATTGGCAATAGCCGAGACGAGGTCAAGATCCAAGGTTTCATCCCCACGGAAGACGTCTACGGTGACATTCATTGTATCCGCATTCCTCGTGGAGACACGACAGGCATTTACAAGCTTTTGAGTGAATTTGCGGAACAGAATGAGAATTTTGCCAATTTGCAGTACCAGCGGAATGCCCACCAGTCAGCTAATATGCAGGAGCGAGATCGTGGGCAATCGATTGGACAAATGGGATTTATGAACATTGAACAACGTATGGCCACACCTATTCCAAAATTTGCGGATTGCGGTCAGGATATGACTACGTATGAAGTTTTGCGATTGGAGCAGCTATTGCTGGATTTCGGTCAGCGAGATTCTCCGTCTCCTCAGGTGCCTGTAACTAGGCCGCCGTTGACACGAAAGCGTCCGCAGTCTTGCAATGAAGGTGTTGACGATGCTGATAAAAAAGACCAAGGTTACAGTGGAGGAAGAAAGAAGATCGGGACCAATCTGGCCGCTTCGCATCATGGACTGATGATAGGATTCCTCCGCCTGGTGTGCCGAAACCACCAGCTCCCGTAACTGGGACGCATACGTCATCGGTGTACAGGCCACCGCAACCTCCTGCTCAAGAATCAGCGTCCCCAAAGGAAGACTTCCCTAAAAGGAATGTCAACACGGAACAGAATGTTGCCCCCAAGGGCAAGGGCCGAGGTAGTTCTACTACGAAAGGATCCACAGCTCCCGCAAAAGGGGCGCTGCGAGGTTCCGTCGGCCGTGCAATGTCTTTCCTCCCTGAGGACAGGGCGCCCAGAAGAGGCAACATCCCAAAGGACCTCCTTGGTCCGCCACTGCACACACCACCGTCAGTTCCAGCAGCTCACCCCAAAGCCACCAAACTACCCACCACCACTGCCAATGAAACGAGCTCCCATATCACCACCTCCACTTCCGGCACCAGCTCAACCACCAACGGCTGGTCTATCACCGCCGCCAAAACGACAACCAATGATGGCAACGGCGCCGAAAGTTCCACCCAATTCAGCCAGCGGCATTCCAGTACACACCAGACCAGCGGACTTCAACCTGACGCCGAAGCCGCCGCCTCTTGCCAATCTTTACAATCGGTTGCAACCTTCCGTAAAAAGAAAGGGCAAAGGTAAGCAACAAGGACATTTTCGAGAAGGTCCATATGAGGCACGGCCATGGCATTTGCGCAATGTGCCGCCGCCGCCATTACCTTCAGGGGCTCCATCATCCTCGTCGTCATCACACGCTCCCGTAACTGGGCAGCCTACAGTGCGAGGCACAGATGAGCGACCATTGGAACCTTTTGATTTTCCAGGGGTACAATGGCAGCGTACAGATCCATGGGCCGACAACTATTGGCCCAATCACATGGAGCTTCGTCAGTGGATGGAACAAGGTTGGCAGGATGATACAGAGCGATTTGGTTACAGGCGTTATTGAAATGCATATGTTGAACAAGCTACCAGAAATGGTACGCCATACAGCCTATGAGTGTTGAGATGGAGATCACCTTCTGACGTGCAGTGAGATGATGTTTCACCACGTTGTCTCACGCTGTACTGCATCCCTAACAGGATTGCCTTAGTCGGAGAGTGAACTTTTAATCAATGCTCTATCTAGAACTGGGTCTAGCATGTATAACTACATGCCGAGTGAGCCGGTAGGTTGTACATTAGGGTAGCTACGTTCTCCTTGTATAGTGCATGCGCGAGCTTGATGAGGGAGTTCTAAAATGATTCCTTCGTCGCTAGAATTTGATCCTCCCGAGATTTTCCCTACGGGTAGCTCCTTGTAAAGGGGGGTGTTGAAATTCACCTCATCCCCATGGACCCCGTAGCGTGAGTTCTCAAGGTAGAGCTAAAAGAGACGCTTAGCGGTACCCAGGCACTGCACGAAGGTGTCGCAGTAACCAGGGATTTGTACAAGGCTGGGCCGGCTGGTCCTATTTGCCTTCATGATGGTTGAATTGGCGAAAAGTGTGCACGTGCTCGACGAGAGGATATGTCAGCCAAGGTTGCTTGAATACAAGGCCGTTGAACCAATGTGCGTGTAGTTTAAGCATCATTATAGCTGACCACTAGTGAGTTTGACCCTGTATATGTGATGGTCCAGTGCTCATGCCGTGGTAAAGCTCTGGCCTTCTTCTACATCGTGGGTGTTTCAGTCGAAAACTCAGTCGTCAAGCCTGGCCTGGCCGAGGTCTAAGCTCGGCACTGAGATCCGGCAGCTTCTCACGAGCTCTGGACAGACACTGTGCGTCCTCCATGTTTTGAGTTTTTTGGCTGAGCTGAACCCACGCCCCATTTCTTACAAGTAACCTTTCAACACAGAAGACACTTGGGGCATGTTCACACTGCCGCCAAAATCACGATGTTCACATCTTCATGGAGGTTCCAAGACAGTCCTGGAGATTTGAGAAAGTTGTTGGTGGATAAAGGGAGATTTTCAAAAGCAACATCATAGCTTTGCAGCCAAGGGTTGTTACTTGAAGGGCACGTGCTTGGTCAATCCTGTTCAGCACTTTGCCCTGCCAGGCGAGAACATTTGACCCTTGAAGATGCCGGCATAGACTACGACGACTTCGTTCAGGCCATTGATGCTTTGTCCTCTCTCAGTTTCAATCCGTTCCAGCAGTTTGCAAAGGGGTTTTTGGTCAATAAACAACAGTGCTTTGCCCATTTAAGGGCAATGAAGATCAGGTGCAACCAGATAACAAGGTGAGCCTGCAATTGTTGCATGCCCAGCCATACGGTCGTGTTTGCTTGGGATCAATATTGATTATCCGATGATTGGGGTGATGCAAAGCAACAGCTCATTCCAGCAGCTGGCTGCTGCGAACGTTTGTGACACATATCCTTAGTCATTCCCAATTGCGTTCCAATTTCTGTAGTGCCTTGTTATAATAGGCTTTGGTCCAACACGGTGGTCAAAAAGGGTTTGTCGCTTGTTATTCAAGCATGGACATGAGGAAACTCGCTAAATCTAGAGGGATGCTTGCATACACGTTAATGATTGAGTGTGTGCTTGCTTCTATTTCAGAAGAGCCACACTTTTGCTCCGCCAGGCATCATCTTCGGATTCTGCAAGCCAGGGGTCAGTGCAGCTCCCCGAAAGCTTCTCAAGCCATTTAAGCCTGGTATGATGATCCAGGAGTGATTTTTGTTGGCCAAGGAGCTTGTATCCTAATGAAGTATGTATGAGCATGGAAGGATAAGAGACGACTGACGCATGGTGAGTTCTTCCGCCTTATTGGGGATGCTTTTGGCGCCGGGCTCTCCGGCTCAGGTGTCAGGAGCATCAGCACAGCTGCTGCTGTGCAGATCTTTCACTCTCCCTTGCAGCTCCTTCTCGCGGCAAGGACGTGCAATCCTTAGATTTGGGCGTTCCCTCAACTGATCTCTGACCTCCTGAGTTCGTCCAACATGACCCCTGAGAAGCTGAGGCCAAGGTGAAAGACAGGCAGAGCGGTTAATATGTTGAAGGGCATCTCATGTGACTCGGAGGAGACGTGGCTCCGTTTTGTGGCAATCACCCAAACCCAGATTTCAACCGTTCGGCCTATTGGTTGGGTAAAGTTACGTAGTGGGAGTTTTGAGGTTCGTTGTTCACAAGTATTTCAAGCGTCCATTTTCTTTCAAGTCGACTTCCGCTGGCGCATCCCTGGCGCATCACAGAAACTGTGTGGGGCATGAGGGCAACCAGCAAGCTCATGCCAACATGCCTCCAAGGTGAAACAAGAGAACATGCGATTTGGCTGTGGAGCAACACATGCTGTTGCTCAGGGAGCTGGGGGTCGTCAGGTCGCCGGGGGTATCCACGCCCCACAAAAAGGGAGCCGATTGGAGCTATAGGGAGTCCCCCAACGGAGGATGGGTTCCAGAAAGGTTGGCTGCTCACTATCCCAGCGCACCGGTTAATCCCATCATAAGGGGCCGGTGTTAGCTGGGATGTGGAAGACATGGAAACCTGAACTCAGTGGGTAGCCCAGCGCACCGGTTAATCCCGTCATAAGGGGCCGGTGTTAGCTGGGATGTCGAAGACATGGAAACCCGAACTCAGTGGGTAGACCTAAACACAGTGTGTAGCCCAGATTCTGCACCTTTTACCACTCCAGCGGCATGTTTAGAACAAGAGGATACCAATGGGTGTGGGTCGAGCGACTCAATCGGAAACCGTCATTGAAGTGTGGTGTGTATTGGTAAACTGTCATGAGACTCGTTCTATTTTTTGATGACCCTTCGACTGACTTAGCAGCGCCAGGTATAGATGAGAGACCCGGATGGCTTCTGATCGAGTAGATGCCTTGCCCATCGTGATGGAGAGACAGGACGCACGACGACCTAGGGATCTTGAATGATGTTGGTGTAAGGAGTTTTTCCATCAACCAGCTGTTTTTGTTCGCTGACATCGATTCGGGAAGGTAAAAGAGAGACGTGCGCAACTCCACTTCACACAGGGCGACCCTTGAGTCAGGTGCAGGCCCACGTGCATTCGCCCAGAGCTTGAAACTGGCATTTGTAGATGCCGAGTTTCATATTCTGCACGCCGACGCTCGCGAATTCGCTGTGCGGTTGGAACATCACTGGTGTCCACTCTTGAACCCAGGAATTGAGTCAACAAATTCGCTTTGGTTCTGCGCAGGGTGTTTTCCTTTTTCAGGCCGGTTGTGTGACATGTGTGACATATGCCTGAAGAAGATACCACTAAAAACAAATGATTGCGCTGCAGAAAAAAATCGATAGGGCCACCAAGTTGATGGATACCGAAGGTAATTTCAGGCTGCGGCGGCTGCGGCGGCTGTGCGCCAGAACGGCGCAAGAACAGATGAACATGCCGTGCCCAAAAAACAGTGCGGTTTCTGCCACTGAAACTTGACATGGATATTATACTCTTCAGTTGAGCAAAGGATCTGCGTAGATGCTGCGACAGATACGGCTTTGGGACACATTTTTGTCCTAATTGATCACACCTGACCAAATCATGTGAGATCATTCGCTTGCCCCCCGAAAAAGACGCAACCACTTTGGAGGCCATCTGAGGAAAAACGTGAACATTTGAAGTGAAGCAAAGCTTCAGAATCTTGCATATCGAGTTGCATTTTTTGGATAATAGGTCTCTTAGTCGTGCCACGGGGAGGCCGCCTCATTTTGCGCAACTCGCGGGGTGTTGTGACCCGCAAAGTGAGGTGATTTCTACCAATATCACCAGTGTTTCGCGCCACTGTCCCGGTGGCCTGCTGGGGTGTGGCCGGTAAGGTCTTTTGCATAAGGTCCTTGCAACGCCTCCGCTAGCAAACAGAGCAGCACAACTGAAGGTTTCGCAACAATCCCTGGCTGGTAGACCGGCGTGTTTATGCTGAAATGAGGTAGCCAAGCTTAACAGGTTCTTTGCGCGGTGAACTGAATTGGTGCATTTGATGTGTTTTTTGTATCCCTTTTTCCGTCCGCGAGGTAGATGGAACATCAACCTTGGCAGAAACTTTGCTCGGCCCATGGGCCCGTTCAGCAGGTGTTTCCGCGCGCGATTTCGCACACAGGAAGCTTCCCGAGTCCGCCAGGTCTCCACCGAATATGGCTGGAACGGTGCTTTTTTCTTGGTGAGTTGGGGGATGTGTTCGGAAGGGCGAGATCTGCCACATCTTACCTGTCATTTTTGTATATTTTTTTGGTTTATAGCTTCTTAATTTGTATGTTTTTGAAGGGTTTATTTTATGTTTATTTTTTCTTATGGTTTTGGGGGAAGAGTCGACGGTGGTCGTCATCCCTTGGTGCATGCGGCAACGCTCATTTTCCTAGGTGAGCGTGGCTGAGCGTGGTGTTTGATGGTCCAGGAACGTGGCCAACAACAAAGCTGAGCCATGTCCATAGCGCCCCCTAACCCAAGGTCCTAGCCCTAATTCTATTGAGTCATGAGTCATGGTGGAAGATCTTTTTGCTTGAAAGGTGCCCGTCGCCGACCATCTTTTGGGGTTTTTAAAGGCGGTGTGCATACATACAGGCTCCAAGTGCCCATCCACTCGTTTAGAATCACAACCAGGATACTTCTTTCTAACGCAGCTTGTGGCCATTCAAGCTGGGCGTTCTTGGTCGTAATTATGGTTGGAGCGCCCGCAACTAACCTTTTGTCATTATCTTAGTGAAAGTGTTCCACCCAAGACACGAAACTCAACAAACAAGAACGAAGTGTGACGTTCCTTTTGCAGTCTCCAATTTGACGACTGAATCTGTACCGTTGGCGCTGGAGAGCTGGCTCGGAGTCAAAGAAGAACACGCTTTTAGATTGTATACCAGTAAGCTAGACTAAAACCTTTAAAGTTCTTTTTGACTTCCCATGACAGAAGAACGGTTGAAAGAAGTGTTGCTGTGGGCTTGTCCCAAGCAGCGAAAGACTGGGCACTTCAATCAAGCGTCACCCGAAGTCACGGACGGTGAAGCCCAAGTCATCGTTGCAGCCAGACTGGTCTGCAGAAGGTCCGGAGACCCACACGTACCTCAACGATAGATATAGATGAGGAGTATAGATTAGGAGTGTATCTCATACTCGTAGGTGCTTTCGGCATGTCACTTCTTGGTTCGCCATGGTCAGTTGGCATCTCGGCTCCTGAAAAAAGGAAGGCCGGCCTGTCAACTGGATTCTATTTTGGGATCCTTTTGGGTTTGGGAGGTGAGTAGCTACTTAGAGAGATGACCAATTTTTGTTGATATCATTCAAAGCTAACTTTCTGTAGCAGGTTGGCCTGAACGATCCATTTCCACAGGAAGTAGCTTGACAGGTCTCAAGATGATAAGTTCAGGTTGCCGGACACATTGACAAGTAGACTGGCACATTGACATGGCAGGAGGTGTTCCGAAGTGTTACCGGGACTCTATGGGCAAATCCCACGACTCCGCGGCCCTCCCCTGTCTTTAATCGCCCATTCTGGAGATGCAAGCGAGAGAACTGACGCCAGAGGCTGGTAAATCCCTGGTTTGCAGGTGCTGATTCGGTGGAGAGGCCTTTGCAATTGCATTCGATCTGTTCGGATTTTTCGAGCGAACTCTAGCTCCCAGCATGGGATTCCAAGCCAGTGTTGCAGATCTTTTCGTGAAAACACCCGAGGCATGCAGTGTTGATCGCCAACAACACCGATGGCCTAAAGAATGCGGTTCGTGACGCTGAGCTGGTCGAACGGGCACTGCTGCGCTGCGGCTTCTGTGCCAGGAAAGAGGATGTGCACATGGTTCCGAACAAAACAGGCGGCCATGGCTGAATAAAGCTGCGGCAAACAGGGAGGGGCTCGCGGCTCGCGTGGCTCCGGTGAGGGTCAAGAATCATGTTTGATGCACAAGATCGGCACCATATATGTGTGATCTCCAAGTGCCAACTATGTGGAGCTTCAACGTTTGACCATGGTAATTTGAACGCAAAAGCCTGGGGCTGAGGAAGGGAGGTAGGGGAGGCCATATAGCATTTCTTTTGCTCTACAACCTTGACCCAGTTCATGGGGGGGGCCACTTGTGACCTAGGACTGGTAGTTGACTCTGAGAACCTCGCAAAGAGGAACTGAACTGGAGCCAATCCAGGGTGTTGGATGGGTGTGTGTCAAAACTGCACCTTCCGGATTGATGGGAATTCATGGGATCAGTGAATGTCTCTGACCGCGAGTAGGTGTCCAGAAACGAAGCCGTGGAGGGTCAGTAGGTCCACATAAGTCCAGACTTGACTGGAACGAGCTGACTGATGTGCAGGTAGCCAAATCAAGCAGGTTTTGAAGCAGGTGATTGGCAAGTTGACCAAGGATGCTCAGCTCTTCGTTTGGTACTCTGGTCATGGTTTTGGCATGGACAGGCATGATGCATTTCAGGGGACCTGTTTGGTGCCTGAAGGCGAGTACATTGCCGGAGACGGAGAACTTGAAGTGGAGATCCAGCCCCTTTGGCTGGAAGATACCTTGTTCGGCATCATTGCAAGCGAACAAAAGGAACAACTAAAGCTTTGGTGTGCTGTGGTAGCCTGCCGCACGACGAGGGAAGATCTTGAGAAGGGATGGAAAAGAAAGGAGCACAGATGCTCCGTCATGGTGAAGCCGGATGAGTACGCTCACAATGTACTATCGCTACAGAAGCAGCGGTACCAGTTTTGGTACACCTGTGACCTAGGGCAATTCACTTGGGACTTCTCCATTTTTGCAAAGGCCTTTTGCTACCACTTGGAATGCAACCCAAGATCTTGGGATGATTTGAAGAGAAACTTGACGAAGGACATTGAATTGATGTCCTTTGGGCATCTACAAAAACTAAAGATTTATGGAAATCTCGAGGACCCTCTTGAGAAGACAGAGCTTACCCAGACACAAACCTTTAAGAAGGTCCTTTATGACAGAGATTGTCTCGAGGCAATAAGACGGGCTCAGCCGCTGGCAGATTGTTTGTATAACCTTGCTAATTATGAGACCTTCACGCACGAGTCAGTCGATGACTTGGAGGAAGAGGAAGAGAAAGAGGAAGAGGAAGATGCTTGCGACTCTTATGAACAGTATGAATCAGTCCGAGACAAGGCTGTGGAGATCATCGAGGAGTTTTACTCCTGTGGTGCGTACTTTGAAGGGCTTGAACATCAAATTGAGCTTCTAAGTTGTTACGACTTGGATGAAGTCATGGATGTCCTGACAGCCCACAAGGATGCATCTTCAAGTGGGGCAGCATATCCTCCCCGCCCAACCGAATGGACGCCGAAAGAAAGTGCTACTGCTGAAGATCTTATCGACAACCGCAAGACCAAACTGAATCTCCCAACTGAGGTGATCAGCGTCATTAGCCGCGCTGCCATGAGGTTGAAGAAGGACGCAGGGTTGGGATTCTTCTATCCTGTGCGCCTGACCGCGTCTAGCATCGCTTCAAGTCAATGAAATGTTTCTAAGGGTGCACAAACTGACGCAAGTGAGCCTACTTCACACCTCACCCTGAGGACAAGTCTGAGAGTTTTCCTTCTGAAGTATATGTGAAGATGCTGCACCTCGGCTGTTGATGACCCAGCCTCTTTGACTTTTCTGGCTTGACTATTTAAGACCCGCCAGCCACAACCCCAGATTCTTTTCATTTGGTCTGCAGCAAGCAAGGCAGGAGTTGGGATTCTACTTTACAGCCAAGAAATATGAAGACACCTTTGCAATTTGCAAGGAAAAGGCTGTCAAAGTCCATGTGGATAAGCTGGAGAAGTACTATTTTGTAAGTGAGGGAGACTTGCCTGACACCAGATTGTCCATTTATATTGCTTGCCCTTGCGCATCGTTGGTGCACCGGTTCAACAAAAAGGGAAGTTTAGCTAAGCCGCCTTTGACCTTTAGGGCGGCTTTTGGATAGAAAGCCACGCATCGCATGCAATTGGGAAACCGTCGATGGCATTTGCGCCTTCGAAGCTCGCATGTCACGGTGAGGAGTGTTGGGCGCCAGTCCGGATGATGCCGCTGATGTTGAGAAGCAGATCAGGGATCGGTGTGCAGAGCTATGCCCCTTTGCGGCATACTTGGCGAGTTTTTGCTCCACAGTTGGATGGGGTGCGGCGTACCCCTCAAAGTTATTCTAAGCACAAGGTTAAGATTTGGATACTGGACATTTGGTTTCCTGGCAAAGGCGGTTTGTTCCGTCATTCTCTCGCACATTTTGTTAGCATAGTGCACGGACACAGCAACAATTTTGGTCTAAAGGCTGCCACTTTGGCCTGAAGAGACCACAGTGTAGCAGGCGCTGTCCCACTTGGAAGTTATTCGGGGGGCCGGGAGGCAACAGGCCCACTTCAGGGAGACTCTTAAAACGTAAATCCTTTCATCTAGCAGAGCTTTGGTCTAAGAGAGAGAGAGAGAGAGTCCTCTAGTAATAGTTGTGAATGAAAGATGCCAAATTTACACCTTACACCGTTTGGTGGACCGGACGGATCTAGGCACAGCAGGGGAACAAGAGCCAAGGCCTCAACATGGATGACTTGGAGGTGATTCGCGATCAGATGCGTGTCTGTGTGACCCAGGGCAGCTTCTGGGTGGTCGTGGTGTCCCCTGTGAAGCTGAAAGCCAGTGGATTGAAGTCGATCCTTGAGGACTTCGTCGACCATCGAAGGGGAACATCTTTGGGCTGGGCATGTGCTGAAGCCCCATGCCAGGTGCCAGATTTTGCAGCAGCAGGATTTCAGAACGTGGTGAACCTGGTGGAAGGTCTACGTGCAGAAATCCAGGTTCCAAACTTAGTGCTGCTGAGAGGGTCCTTCTTCAAGGACCTTGCGAGGCAGCTCATCCAGAGAAATGGCGAAGAGGCTGCAGAATGGCAGTTGCGTGCAGTCAACAACTACAGAGATTTGGAAGGAGACGACTGGTGCCTCGCATTGCTGACCTAACATTTTGTGCGATTCTTTATGTCAGTGTCGTCGTTCTTGGCATGTGACCACCTCTCACCACATGGGCGGGCGTGGGCGGGTGGGCGATGTCCAGTGCTCTCCTCCTATGTTTAACTATGTGAGGTGACTATACGTGGCCTTCACGGTAAGAAACTTGTTGAGTTGGACCCTGTTGGACCAGCAAAAGTGTAACCTTCTTCTGATAGCTCACCCAAGTCGCTCATTGTTTTCCATTTCCGTGCTAATGAGCAACTGACATGCTCAGCCCTCATGAATTCTGTGCAGGGGCAGGCAAAGTGAGGTTTATATCGCTTTGTTCTCCTGCATTCATACAATTTTTATGTGTCCGGATGAACAGGGTTGACAAACAACGCAATCAGCTTTGCCCAGAGGATATGGTAGCGTTTAGGAACAACTCCATCACCATGCGTTTTCCGTTTGACAGCGGCTGCTGCGTCTATGAACCATGTGGAGTCGCGGATATCGATTGACGTGCTTAGATCCCAAAAGCAACCTGCAAAAACACTGAAGCATCAAGACCTCAACACAGCAGGTGCCGGGGCTCAAAGCCGTGTGTCACGAAGAGTAAGAGGGTTGGTGATTGGATGCGGATAGCTCATTGGTGTAGAGAAGATCACTGTACATATCGTCCCTGAAACAGGTTTGATGTGATTCCTGTGCAGAAGCCACAGCCACCCATACTGAGGTTGAACCCTCACTGCAGTGCCGACCTGCATTTTGTGCAAAGCCTCCACTGGCCGACACTGCCCTGGAAAGCGCCCGAGCTATTGGAGCGATTGAAGACCTTTGCAGGTCTCAGGCATTCCCAAACATGTTGGTTCACAACAGCAAACTATATACTGTATATATTCCTTCACAACACACGGAACAATCAGTGAAGAGGCTTATGGCATGATCACATAGATCGCACAGTTGTGTGATTGCGTTATTGCAGCTGTAGTTGTTGTTGTTGTTGTGGGTGGACTTCTCCGAGTCAACACTGCGTGTTGTCAAACCAGCTGATGCCCATACGACCAGCTTCCCTTAGCAGAGCTTTCCAGAATCCCTTCCTCACTTAGAGGCCACAAGTCATCTACTGAACCTTTTTTGACTTTGGGCAGCCTGTCCCTCAACATGCGATTGCAACGGGGTGAGTTCCACCATCCGCTGGAGGCCTCAGAGTCAAGTTCTGCATGCAGTTGCCTTCCTGATTCATGCGATCCAGAAAGATCCGGAGTGGCAGAGCATGCTGCTGGGCAGTGAATGGCATCAGGGTGGGGACTCAACTCGAGACTTGTTTTAGGCTGCCCCATTTACTACATCCCAAAATAGCAACGGCCAGTGTTGATGAGTAATTAAGTATCCATTGGGTTCATACAGAAAGATTGTGAGGACACTTCATCATTTGATCATGCAGTCTTGTTCGCCATACTGTTAAACGGACCTACTTGGATGGACTTCAAGCAATCTTCCTAGCACTCCACTCGAAGCTAGAAGGGTTGATGCAGACAAGCAGGAACCGATGCCGCAAACTGAAAAGCACGGGTGCTTGACTAGATTCGAAGCATGGCAGCTGCCCCAACCATGAGGTTGTGGGCGCGGTCAAGGTTTCTGTCTCTAGTATATGCATGTTTACACGACACTTGTGCTCGCATTGTTGCTGCTTCGGAAAAAAGGGTCGATTGCCCAAGGAGCCTGGACACCATGATGCAGGCACGGTCAAGAGCCCAAAAGGATATCAGTCACATTGTTCCTTCACGATTCAATGCTTTGTCGCCTCTGCTCTTCTCTCGTGGTTCCTATCCTGGTTGCAGACTCGAAGGGCAGCTTTCAACGTGGGCATTTCAGGTTTTTACCCACGTACGAGTGAAACCGTTTTTCTAAACTTGGGTCCTGGATGTTCAAAGTCTCAAGCAGAATTGCTTTCATTTCTGCCCTGCAACCGTCAAGCTGAGAGGGCATCATTCGGGTTTATATCGTTTCAACTAATCGCCTTGAGTCCAAAATTCAACAAGAACTTAGTCTTTGCACATTCTCTTGATGTCAGTTTTCACTGCATGAGAACACGTCGTTCGATGCACTTCATTTGATAGTTTGTCTCCGCACGCGGCCATTTTAGGGCCCTTGAGTCACGTAGGGTACGACACGACCGATCGTTGATCTTGGAGGAAAACAGGACCGACTTCCTTTGCGGTGAACCTGTACAACCAGATTGGTAGCGAGAGCTTAAGACGATCCAGGTTGACGGTGTCTTTGGTGATCTTTTAGATTGGAGAGACCTTCGTTTTCCTTCGGAAAGTCGAGAATAAGCTCCACATGTCTGGCATGGAAAGGAGTCCGCGAAGGACCCCCATCCGTAGAGCACGGACTTCAGCACCCGGAAATCCCGGAGCAGCTGGAAATGCAGGAGGAGGATTGTTTGCAAGTGTCGAACTTGATGACCCCGGACTTCAGATGCCTGGTGTCCCGATGCCCTCGTCTTCACAGAACACAGGACTTGATTCAGGTTTGGCAAAAGCATGCCCCTCCACCGACAACTTGAACCAGAAGAGCTACAGGAGTTTTAGGCGCCGACTTGAGTTGTTCCAAAGGCAGTGCGCCCGAAGGGGACGTGAAGTGGCCGTTGAGGGGACATTCCTGGTCATAAGTCGTTTGAAAGATGTCGCATGGGATGCAACAGAGCACCTTAGTTTTGATGAAGTTGAGAAGGCCTCAGATCCTTTCAAGTTGCTCTTCGAACTACTTGATGAACTATACCAGTATGAGGATCTGATTGAGGTTCCATCCAGATGCGACGAGTTCTTTTTGGAGTTCTACCGCCAGAAGGGAGAGGAGATGCAGGCGTATCTTAATCGCCATCCCAATCTCCTCAAGAGAACGAGTGAGGTGAGTGTGGACATTCCACCTTTGTTGTCTGGCTGGCACCTTTTGACGCGTGCTGGAGTGCCGCGCTGGACCCACGTCCTGATCAAGTCAATGTGCGCTGGAGACCTCGAGTATGAGAAAGTAGGCCGGGCATTGGTTCGGATGTTTGGCGGAGACCACAAGCCAAGCGCACGGGATCTTGGACGAGCTCTCCCGGCATCAAACGCCAAGGATGACGTCCTCTGCGAAGAAGAGGAGGATGAATAGTATGATGAGTCTGAAGAAGGCTATGCCGCTGAGGATTGGTATGACGAAGAAGCCTTCGAGTGTGGTGAGTTTGACGATGACGAGATCCCTGAGGAGCTGGAGGAAGCGATGGAGTTGACAGATGAGGCCCATGTGTCCTACATTGAGAGTCGTCGAAAGATGAAGGAGTTGGCTCTGTCACGCGGATTTTATCCCGTTGTGGCATTAGGCCCGGACTGAAGGAAAAGGAGGAAAGGGCAAAGGCAAGTCCGGCTTTGGCAAAGGAAAAGGAAAGGGGAAAGGAAAAGGCAGTGGTGGAAACTTCTTGAGGAGAACCCCTTTTAACAAACGGCCCATGTCGGGATTGCGAAAGAGCCCTATGTCTTCTACTGCATCCACTGGCAGTACCGAGAGGTCTACATTGACTGGATCAACTTCACAACATGAACTTCGATTCAAAAGGTACAGAAGCCAAGGCCAGGGTGTGAAGGAAGTTCCAGAAGAAGTGAGCATGGTGGAAGAAGCTGATGAGATCGGCCATGAAGAGGAAGTGAAAGTTGATGAGCAATGTTTCTTCGCTGTCATGGAGAAGGGTAAAGCCATCGTTGACAGTGGGGCCACAAGAACCATTGTCGGAGAAGAGAATTGCATCGATGGTTGGAGCACTATGGCAGTGAGATGACCAAGCCCATCACGACCAAAGCAGTGATCCGGCAGTTCAAGTTTGGAGGAGGAGAAACGCTGCAGTCACAGTATGAAGTGAGCTGCGCGGCTGTGGTTCATGGACAAGGTCTTCCGGTGACAGCGTCCGTGGTTCCAGGGGCCACCCCCTTCCTTCTTGCCAGACCTACTTTGGAGGAGCGGGGCGTGATGCATGACTACAAGAATGGTCTGATGAGCGTCGGAAATTCCGGATGGTTCAAGCCAGAGAGGAACGAAAGAGGTCATTTCATCCTGGACTTGATGATGTACAAGACCAACAACCGTGAAGAGGAGAACTTCTTTCTGGGAGATTGGATCGATGAAAAACAAGAGAATGCAAGTGGAAGTGAGGGTGACCACGATGACATTTGGTCCTTCGAACCGTTGATGGAAGCGGACGCAGTCGTTTTGACAACTGAGGAGAACAAGAAGATTGACAAGAATGACATGCTGAATGTGGACCAAATCGCCGAAGATGTGGTCAGAAGGTTGAAGGAGAAGAGAACTTTGAGATTCTTCGAGGTCTATGTAGACCAAGGCAACTTGTCGGTGTACTTGGCGAAGAACTACACCGATGTGGAAGTCTCGACCTTTTTGCTTCCAGAGTGGGACTTTGACAAGAAAGAAGTTCGTGACGAGTTCATAGAACTCTTGAGAGAAGTGAGCCCAGAGTTTGTGTGGTTGGCACCTCCCTGCCGAAAGTGGTCAGCGATGCAGCGATTGGTGCGAAGAGATGATGAGCAGCTCGAAGCTTGGAAGAAGGAGTTGAAGAAAGAAGAAGACGCACATCTGACCCTGGTCGCCGATGCAGCAGTCACGAGCAAAGAGAATGAAAATGATTATGGAATGGAGCACCCTCACGGTGCAGGATCATGGAGCACGAAGACTATGAAGAGCATGAGCGGATACTTTGAGGCCTTGTGCAATCGTTGCAGAACTGGTCGTTACTTCAAAGATGACAAAGATGAAGGACCAGTCAGAAAGCAGACGAGAATCAGAACAAGTTCGCGACAGGTGGCTGAGGCTTTGAACCTGGAGTGCATGTGCAATCGACCTCATGTCCAAATGGAAGGTCGAACAAGAGGATTGCAGAAGATGCAAAACTATGAAGAAGGGTTTGTGAGAAGAGCAGGAAAAGCCATCTATGCAAGCGTGTGTGAGGCTTGGAGAAAGAAAGAGATAGCAAAGATCATGGCCAGCGAGGCTATGGTTGCTGAAGAGACCAAAGAAGAAAAGGAGAAAGTTGAAGTGACGAAAGAGGAGATTGAAGGCTCAAAGACGCACTCAAAGAAAGCTATGACCGTGGTGGAAAAGCTTCGCCGGCAGTTGCGGCATCCTGGACGTGACCGGTTGGTCCACGCAGTAAAGCAAGCTGGATTGAGCGAGGAAGTGATTCAATGTGCAAAAGTCTTCAAATGCAGCACTTGCCAGAATTTCCAAGCAAAGAAACTTCCGAAGCCAGCCTCAATACAGCAAGCAGTCAGTTTCAATGAGATGTTGGAAATGGACACATTCCACATCAAGTGGGACGAGAAGAAATGTCGCGTCCTTGCCATCGTCGACTTGTTTTCCAGGTTTGAGATTAATCAGGTCATTGAAGCTGAGTCCGAGAAAGAAGAACTAGGCGTCCTAGATACATGGATCCAAGTGTTCGGATGCCCGGCGAAGATTCGAACTGATGCCTCAGGAGCACACATGAGTGAGCAGTTCCTGAACTACATGGACGATCGCAACATCAGGCTGACACTGGTTCCGAAAGAGGCACGCCGTCGCATGGGCACCGTAGAAAGATTGCGCGCAGTTCGAAGGCTACAGCTGTTGAAGATGAAGCAGGAAACTCCAGATCTAAAGCTCTCAACAGCAGTGCCCATTGCATGTTCTTTGAGGAATCAGCTGCGATCTATCCATGGTTCATCACCCTCACAGATTGTGTTTGGGCGAAACCCAAGAGATGTTGGATTGTCTGATGAGCCCATGACCAATCGTGCAGAGGCCAGCATGGAGCATCAGACTCTGCAGAAGCTGCGACTGTCCGCCGCAACAAGTTTCTATGAAGCAAATCATGGCCAGACTCTCAGAAAGGCTTTGTTGAGCAAAAGCCGTGGCGAGGACCAGATCTACTACCCTGGAGATTGGGTGTACTATTGGCGGTCTGGTGATGGAAAGCTCGAACCCAGCCGCTGGCGTGGACCAGCGCTCGTCTGCGCCATGACCCCACGAGATGGATCTGGTGATGCACCTCTGCCATCGGTTTACTGGCTAGCTCATGGTTCAGCTCTGCTTCGCGTCGCTCCCGAGCATATCCGTTGCGAGGCACCTCGAGAACACCAGGCTCGTTTGCAATACCTCCCTCAGACTGCTCGTGTGGCCGATGTTCAATCTACTGTTCGCCGCGCTCTTCAACCGGTGCAAGGTCCCATTCGTTTTCTTGACCTCTTGGGGGCCCCACCTTTTGCGAATGCAACGGCAGCTCAGACTGAAGAAGATGGTCCCGCTGGCAATGAGCAGGAGGATGAAAAGGCCGTTGAAGAGAGAACTGCAGAAGAAGCAATTCAAGAAGATGGAGAACAAAACTCGGGTACAGCCACAGCAGATACAGAGCAGCTGCAGCCACACGAACCACAGCAACAGCATGACACTGAACGACAGTCCGCCGCTGCAGAAGCAACAGCGCAAACTGCCCCGAGTCCAATGGATGATGAAGTTGAAAGCGCGAAGAAGCGCGAAGAAGCGCGAACACCCTGATGAAGTTGAAGAGGGTGAAAGGCCAAGCAAGATTGAAAAGATGATGGATGAAGGACCTCAAAACCAGCCTGTGTCTTCAAGACATCGCTCACGGAGTCCGATGTCTCATGATGAGAGATCGCTTGCCTTCCAGTCTTACAATATGTCTCGTCAGTTGGACGGACTTCCACCAGTGACCCATCGTTTGGTCGATTCATGGACACAATGGAGCCTCTTGATGATGAAGAGTTGTTGCTGGCTGAGTCATTCAAGAGAGCAAGTTGACACCAGAACAACGTGAGGCCTTCAGCCAAGCAAAGGACGCAGCTCTGATGGTGTGGATCGAGAATGCGCCCTGGAAGGCCGTGCCAGAGTCAGAGGCCATGGAAGGAGAATAGTGCCCGCAAGATTTTTGCAGAGGTGGAAGCCAACAAGCAATGGACCCACTCCGAATGCTCGTGTCATTCTACAAGGCTTCCGCCACAAAGACGTGCTGACTGAAAATTTGCAGCGAGAGTCACCTACATTGAGTCGGCGCGGAAGGATCACTTTGATGGTTTGGGCAACTCATCGAAGGTGGAAAGTGTGGTGCGCTGATGTCAACAGCGCTTTCATGCAGTCCGATTCCATCGACAAGACCACGAGGATCTTCGTTCGGCCGCCTGGAGAGATGAGAAGAAGACTTGAGCGGCTCATGGGATTCAAACCTCATGAGATCCTGAAGGCGACGAAGCCAGCTTTCGAAGACGTAAGAGCTCCCCGTCAGTGGAACGAGACTGCTGATCGTTCCTTGACTCATGAGCTCGGATTGTTGCGCCATCCACTGGACAGATGCTTGTACCTGTCCCTCCGTGCAGCCACCGCAGATGATCCCGAGTTCCTGCAATTTGAGAAGGACAAGAGTTGGTGGATCGTTGATGGAGCCCTTGGCCTGCATGTCGACGATTTCCTTGGTGCTGGTGAACAAGTGTTTTCCTTGAAGGATGTGCAGCGCGACCCAGCAGGAGCCTTTGATTGCTTTGAACATCGTTTGCATCAGCTATCCAAGCGTTTTCGCTTTGGATCATGGGACTTTGGATGCAAGATGCGGTTTTGTGGGTTGGAAATCCAGCAGTCAGAGGATCTTGAACTGATCCCCCTTTCGCTGCAGGAATATATCAACAAGATCAAACCCTTGACGCTGGAGAAAACACGCAAGACGATGGTTGAAGATCCATGCACCGAGAAAAAGCACCGACAGCTTAGAGCTTTGGTTGGGGCTATGTCATGGCCAGTGACACAATGCGTCCCTCAAGCAGCTGCATCGATAAGCCTACTCCAGGCCCACATCAACAAGCCCTCAGTAAAGGATATGCTGGAAGCAAACAAATGCCTCAGGTTCTTGAAGGAAGCAGTGAAGAACTACGTGTTCAAGATCCGTCGGCGTGGTGACTTGGCTGATCTGCGACTGGGTGTCTACAGTGATGCGGTCTGGTCTGTTAGGCCAGATGGCAGTTCACAAGGAGGAATGCTGATGTTCATTGCCGACAAGTCAGAACTTGAGAGCCACCAACCCTTTCCTTTGACGGTGATTGACTGGGCGAGTAAGAAATTGGTGAAGATGCGCAGGAGTTCATTGTCGGCAGAGGGTCAGGCATCCACGATTGCTGTAGACGAGATAGAGTGGGCGAAGGTTTCCTATGCAGGCATTCAACCCATACATCGCCATCCACGAAGATAGAACTATGCACATGTTTCAGGAGTCTCCCATCATCACCGACGCGAAGGCCCTTTTTGATAGCACTTTGTCGGTGACTCCTGGCATGAAACTTTCAGAGCGTCGCACAGCAATTGAAATTTGCATCTTGAAGGAACGATTGGCAGCCGTCTGGGGCAATCGCTGGGTCAACTCGAACCAGAAATTAGCTGACGGACTCACCAAGACAAGCGCTCGAGATGCATTTGCATACACTTTGTCGAGAGGAGTTCATGCCCTACGCTACGACCAAAATTTCGTGGCAGCCAAGAAGGTCACTCAGGGCGAGAAAGACAAAGAGAATGCTGAGTATGAGAGAGCGGCAGAGTCGTTGTTTGAAGGTCAGATGCTTTTGGCTGAAGACTATGAAAAGAAGGAGAGGTTGAATCTATGCCGCCTCCCAGGATGCCAGAAGGAGAAAGACCGAAAGATAGATTCGAACCATTACTGCAGCCGTCGCCATTTCTACTTGCACTTGCACCGAAGAGGACAAGGTGGTGATGAGTGGCGAAAGGCAGCGCGTTGCGCGTTGGCAGTTTTGCAAGCAGAGAACCTTGCTGGAGCAGAGGCCATGGCAACCGAAGACAGTGATCAGGTGTTTGACTACATATTCATGAATACAATCATGGTTGTTTTGTGCTTTGCAGTGCTCGGAGCAGCAGGTTCAGTGTGGGTGTTGCAGAATGTCATCTACCGGTTCGCCAATCGCACGAAGAACGGCATCATTGTTGTGCGTGAGTACTTTCGTGCCTTGGTCTTTCGTTCGTCCATCGGTTTGAGCCATGGTGATTCCTTGAATGCTGGAACGGCTGCTGATGAGGCGCGTGAACTGGAGATCGACAACAATGAGACCGAAAGCGATGATGAGTTGCTTCGTGGGAATGAGAGATTGAATCGTTGGAAACGACGATACGATGAAGTTCATGAAGAAGAAGGCCAGTCGAAGTGGCGTGACCTTTGCTCCCGTTTGTGGACCAACCAGGTCTCGGCTCAGATGAGAGGGCATGTGATTTGGCATTGTCGCGCGGATGTTCGTCGTGACGAATACCTGAAGCTCACCTTAGCTTCTTCCTGTGAGAACCTCACGGATGAACAGATTCGACAGTGGCATCGATTTCTGAATGCGCATTTTTGCTTGATTATCGAGACTCACATCGAAATTCGAGCAAAGGAGCAGAAGTTGAGCCACTACAAGTCCATGTACGACGACATGATGCAGGAGAAAGAAGAACAAGATCCACACAAGAGAGAGAGAAAGAGAGTGAGCGAGATCCGCTCGTGGAGAACGATCCGATCGAATGCAACAAACGGTAGCGCACTATGATCGAGAGACAGACTCAATGCGTTTGTTTCGACAAGATGGAGCATGGCTTTATGTGAGCTGCTATGATGATCGAAGCGTGTGATAAAGGTGGCCCATTTTGAATGTTTTCCATGGAGGTGCTCTGACAAAAGAGCTTTTCTCCCGTCTTGATGTCAGTTTTCACTGCATGAGAACACGTCGTTCGATGCACTTCATTTGATAGTTTGTCTCCGCACGCGGCCATTTTAGGGCCCTTGAGTCACGTAGGGTACGACACGACCGATCGTTGATCTTGGAGGAAAACAGGACCGACTTCGTTTGCGGTGAACCTGTACAACCAGACATTCGATATTCAATGACCCCTTCAGTGTTTCAGGCCAACATACCCGCCATCCCCTGCCAATGCGGTTGATCTTAGGTAGTATCTGAGAATCTCCCAAAGCAGAGGAAAACAACAGGTCTTGAACGTGGACACTTTACAACGAATAGGTGCACAGACCACCGATCGACTATTGTTTGGTAAACCACTGACTTTTTGAAGATGCAACGTTTTACCCTTGAGAGTGCAGTCTTCTTGAGCAGGTCCTGAGCGATACCGCTGCCGAGCCCAGTGAGGTCTTGAGGAAGGTGGTCAAGGCCGTCTCCAAAGTGATGTATCTATACTGACTACCAAGGAGGATGTCAGAACCAAGACCAAGAGAGACGTGCTTGAAGCACAGCAATGTTGCAGTTGCTGGATGTCACTGGTGCAAGAGGGTGAAATGTGATTGCGCTCAGACTCAAACCTTGCAGGCCTGTTGCGGAGTTGCAGCACAGACACGTGGAGTTCTTAGATTTTCCATGATTTTCCTGTGGCCGATTGTCAGTCAGAGACAAACGTTGTTTTTGGATGTTTTTGGCGGATTCTCAAACCACTTCAGTACATTTCTTCGATCTTCCACATTTTGCTGCTGACGACGGCTGAATGGATTGTTCTTTTGGTCAAGCCACTTCCCAGAAAACCCGGGAACTTGAGATGTCGGCGTGGCAGGGCTGATTCAAGCTTTTGAACTTTCGGCACTCTCCAGGAAGCACATGTACACGACCGGCAGCTGCCAAGGTGCAGAGATCGACCGAGCAGGTGGGGGAACTGAGACCTCGTTTTTTAGACTTGTGTTGAAGCGGCTGGCTGGGCTTGCGATTGAGAGATCTGAAGTGTCAGCATCAGGTTTTGCAGGTGTGTAAGGGCCTGGTCACACGCCACCCCGAAGTAGAGATGGACATGCAGGGAAATCCTGTTGGAAAGTCAGATCGTCTGAGGCCGGTCTGCGCTGCACCGCGCTGCCTTCAACGGAGAAATGGATGAGGTGGAGCGACTGCTGATAGCAGGTCTTGACATCGAGGCTAAAGACGACAGCCGGAGTCCCGGAGCTCCGAGGGCCGTGGGACAGGTACAGTTCCGATTGGAGATGGAAGAATGTGACAACATAATTATTCAGCTTAGATAGCCCCTTCTAGTTGAACGAAGAGAGCAGCTCGAAGTTGGAATTCGACTTATGCAACTTGGGGATTGGAAGATAGGATGGATCACGAACTAGCTCTAGCTTGTAATATTTTGCAATGAATTTTGGGATCTTCTTTCTCCGCTCCCCAGGTTGTGACAGGGTTGTTCTGCCCCAAGGTCGGACGCCTCTCAACATTGCGGCGGAAATGGGCCATTGGAAGGTGGTGCAGCGGCTCATTGACGCCAGGGCGGACCTCGAGGCCCAGGACGATGGGTGTCCGGGCGCCTGGGAAAGGAGGTTTGTTGTGGCATCAAAGAGAGCTGCTATATAAGCCTGATTTTGATCAATTGAGGAACACGCTTTGCCAGCAGTGCTTTTGTGTTGACTTTGATCATCCCGTTTGTTGGAACACAGGGCATTCACTTAAAATTCAGAATGCGTTCAAGCTTCAAGATGGTGGGCGAACCTGCCAGGACTGAAGACATTTCTTACTGCTCACATGCGACCGGATTGATCTGCCCCGCCGCGTCGCGACCGGATTGATCCGCCCCGAGGTCCGACGCCTCTCAACATTGCGGCCGAAGAGGGCCACTCGGAGGTGGCGCAGCGGCTCATCGAGGCCAGGGCCGATCTCGAGGCCAAGGACGAGCATGGTCCGGGCGCCTGGGTGGTGTGAATGTGTCTAAGCTCCTTCGTGCAATTGCTTTGGCGAGAAGAAAGACTTCGGACACCACCAACTGACTGAAAGTCACGTCCTTCCAAGCAGCCCCAAAGCCTCAAAGTTGAAATTCGACTTGTGCAACTTGGGGACTGGAAGATGATAGAGTAAAGACGGATCACGGAAATCACTTGTAATCTCTTGCAATGGATTTGAGATCTTCGTCTGTTGATGAACCAAAATCAACCAGAAAATCTCGATGCCTTGAAACCTTCCCTTTCCCTTCTGTCTCGCCAGGGCTAAAGCTCTGCTCCCCACGCTGTGACCGGGTTGACCCGCTCCGAGGTCGGACGCCGCTCCACTGGGCGGCCCGTGAGGGCCACTGTGAGATGGCGCAGCGGCTCATCGACGCCAGGGCCGATCTCGAGGCCAGAGGCAAAGATGGTCCAGGTGCCTGGGACGGACGGAGAACCTCAAGAAGAGGGTTTGTTGTGGCGTCCAAAGAAAGCTGCAATGTTTATGTTTGATTTTGATTCTGTTTGTGCAACAGCTTTGAAGCAGTTGTGAGTTGCAGGGCATTCAGTTGAAATTCTGAATGTTTTCAAGCTTAGGAACTTCACCCTCTTCCGCGCTCTTCCCCTCCCTTCCCCTTCCGCCCGCTGTGACGGGTTGACCCGCCCCAGAGGAAATAGACACGATAAAGGAAATCGAAAGACGCATCCGCTTATTAATTGAGCCACTGTGTCTTGTTCCATCCTTTTTCTGTTCGTCCTTCCATCCAAACACAGATGTGGTGACTTGCTTATTGACCTTCCTGGAGAAAACACCTTCGACTCCCCACGGCCGAGGTGGGTCCACACCGCTGCATCTGGCCGCGAAGTCTGGCCACCTCGCCGTGGTGAACCGGCTCGTGGCCGCCCGCGCGGCCGTCGAGGCGAGGGATGACTGGCGCCAGGGCCCCAAGTCTCAGGGTGACCGGAGAACGTCGATGAAACGCGCCTGCCAAAGGGATTTGACACTTGACACCCCCACCAATCAAAACGGATTTGTAGGATCGAAGATTCTGTGACATGGTCTGAGTGGTGGATTAGGGCCAAGAAGGTGGAAGTGATGAAAGTGGAATAAGACGTGGTGCGAGATTAGATGAGTCGATGAACGGAACACGACATAATGAAGCAACTGGACGGGTTTTGTGCAGCTTTGATTGATTCTATGCCATTGGTATGGACTGGTCCTAGGAGTTTTAGAAAGCCACATGGAGCGATCTGGATATTATGTTGAATCAAGACAAAAATCGAAACATTTGAACACGAGGCCTTGAAGAATATCAAGAACAAGAGGCCTTGAACAAGAGGCCTTGAAGGTAATTTCCAACTATCAAACAAACAATCGCAAACCCCTCACAATTTCCTCTGCTGCCTTTTCCGTCGCTGCCAATGCTCCACTCCCCGCGTCGCGACCGGATTGATCCGCCCCGAGGTCAGACGCCCCTCCACCATGCGGCCAATTATGGCCATTGGGAGGTGGCGCAGCGGCTCATCGAGGCCAGGGCCGACCTCGAGGCGAAGGACCTTGCTGGTCGGGGAGCCTGGGAAAGGAGCTCCGTGGTGTGAATGTGTCTAAGCTCCTTCGTGCAACTGCTTTGGTGAGAAAAAAGACTTCGGACACCACCAACTGACTGAAAGTGACGTCCTTCCAAGCAGCCCAAAAGCCTCAAAGTTGAAATTCGACTCGTGCAACTTGGGGACTGGAAGATGATAGATTAAAGACGGATCACGGAAATCACTTGTAACCTCTTGCAATGGATTTGGGATTTTTGTTTTTTGATGAACCAAAATCAACCAGAGAATCTCGATGCCTTGAAACCTTCCCTTTCCCTTCTGTCTTGCCAGGGCTAAAGCTCCGCTCCCCACGCTGTGACCGGGTTGACCCGCTCCGAGGTCGGACGCCCCTCTACATTGCGGCCCAAAAGGGCCATTGGAAGGTGGCGCAGCGGCTCATCGAGGCCAGGGCCGATCTCGAGGCCAAGCACAAGGAGGTCTTTACTGTCGCAGAAGGGGTGCAAAGCTGCACAGATGCACCAGGTTGTTAAACACGAGCCCGGACATGTTTTCATCGGGTCGGAATGCGTCTAAGCTCCTTCGTGCAACTGCTTTGGTGAGAATAAAGACTTCAGACACCACCAACTGACTGAAAGTCACGTCCTTCCAAGCAGCCCCAAAGCCTCAAAGTTGAAATTCGACTCGTGCAACTTGGGGACTGGAAGATAGAGTAAAGATGGATCACGGAAATCACTTGTAATATTTGCATTTGGGATCTTCGTCTGTTGATGAACCAAGATCAACCAGAGAATCTCGATGCCTTGAAACCTTACCTTTCCCTTCTGTCTCGCCAGGGCTAAAGCTCCGCTCCCCACGCTGTGACCGGGTTGACCCGCTCCAAGGTCGGACGCCCCTCTACATTGCGGCCCAAAAGGGCCATTGGAAGGTGGCGCAGCGGCTCATCGATGCCAGGGCCGATCTCGAGGCCAAGGACAACCATGGTCCGGGCGCCTGGGAAGGACTGGGAGAACCTCAAGAAGAGGGTCTGTTGTGGCAAGCAAAGAGAGCTGCAATGTTTATGTTTGATTTTGATTCTGTTTCAGTTGTGAGTTGCAGGGCATTCAGTTGAAATTCTCAAGGCTTTCAAGCTTAGGACCTTCACCCTCTTCTGCGGTCTTCCCCTCCCTCCCCCTTCTGTCTCGCCGCTGCCAATGCTCCACTCCCTGCGTCGCGACCGGATTGATCCGCCCCGAGGTGAGACGCCCCTCCACTGGGCGGCCAATTATGGCCATGGGGAGGTGGCGCAGCGGCTCATCGACGCCAGGGCCGATCTCGAGGCCAAGGACCTTGCTGGTCGGGGAGCCTGGGAAAGGAGGTCTGTGGTGTCGAAGAAGGGGTGCAAAGCTGCGCAGATGCACCAGGTTGTTAAACACGAGCCCGGACATGTTTTCATCGGGTCGGAATGCGTCTAAGCTCCTTCGTGCAACTGCTTTGGTGAGAATAAAGACTTCAGACACCACCAACTGACTGAAAGTCACGTCCTTCCAAGCAGCCCCAAAGCCTCAAAGTTGAAATTCGATTCGTGCAACTTGGGGACTGGAAGATAGAGTAAAGATGGATCTTTCTTTCTTTCTTTCTTTCAAATGGACGCTTCGATTGGACGGACCGGCAGGATTGAATTCGGTTTAAGGCCTAAAAGAGCGCCAAGATCAGTTCTGAGATTCACAAGGATCGTCACACCAAACACGGTCAATCAAACAACGGGCAATCGCCTCATACTTGCATCTCTTGAAAAGAGAGTGAGGGATGTCACGTTGAGTCAAGTCATTGGGCGACAGGGCAAGGTGCACCGTCAGCAAGCAATGGAGCCCACATGTATCATGGTACAAGTCAACGTGGCCAACTTGAGGCAGCGACAACAACATTTGTGTATGGTGCAAGAATCTCAGAGATGGTCGATGCTCAAACAAACATGGCACATGATACCGCCACGCACAGACACCAAGCAACAACATGCATTGAACCATGGCATTGGCCTTTGCAACTAGGTGATGTTGGCTCGCTACAAGGTTATCACGGCCCCAAGGGAGCTGCAAGGTGCGATTGGCACAACACACCTCGCCATAAAAATCAACAGGCCCAATCATCCAACAAGGATCAAGCAAAGTACCAACAACGGCAACAATCCACCCTTCATGCAAAAGCCGCATGCACAAAGTCTGGGTGTCATGGTCAGCCAAGTTCACATCAAGTGCAAATATGTATAAGTCAGCCTGCTTGTCAGCCGCTGCTCGTTGCAGGGAATTTTCAAGCTCAGTGGTGGCGCCGGCCACGGCATAAGGCATCAGAACAGTGCGGCCTTTTTTTAGGGGAGAAGGTTGAAGGTTGGCGAACGAATCCAAACGCGCACAGTCAAGCAGCAACCATTTCGAGTTAGCCAATCTTCTCGCCCGAATACCAAGCTCAGGCCTGACGAGTTCGGCAAGCTCCCCAGGGTGAAAGATCCAAGCAACAACAACAGACGCACGCGTCAAAGCGTGCTCAACCTCAACGTCATTAGCATGATCGGCAGCAGCCGTTATGACATGGGCCAAGCCAAGCGCAAGTTGGGGCGCATGCTTCACAAAAGGCCAGCAAATGTTAAGAAGTGCATGCACACAAAAACCGAGATTGGTGCAACTTTGAGCATCAACATGCATCATCCAATTCAGCAATGAACTTGCAAGGGCAAGGTCACTAGGCAACGCTGCTTCATCCTGAGGAGGGTCTGGAGAGGGCTTCAATGTAGCCCACCAAGGCAAAGGCCCAAAGCTTTGGACAAGGGGTTTGAACGCGGTGCGCGACGGCTGGCGTTCCAACTCAGGAAACTCAAGATCAGACTGTTCCAGGATTGCAAGGCATTCCTTCTTCTGCTTCAGGTGGCGCTGAAGACGGGTGGAATCCTGACAATTCAGCAAGCAAGCTTGACACACGCTACCTCGCGCATAGCGATACTCTCTCGCGTTAGTACCATGATGCCGATAATTATGAACAGCGACCCCTTTCGCTGTTTGCATGCACTTACCACACGTGGCACAGGAAAAGGTTGCCTCTTCATCCGGGAGATTGGCCGAGCAATCGCCAACATACACCCCGACGTCCGACATGAGGTCGCAAAACCGCACGCTAAACTCTTTCCCTACGCACTCACGCGTTTGGTGCAACTTAGCGGCTGTCTGCGCACGCTTAAGCAAATTTTTTCCACCATCCAGAGTCATGGAGAATACGTGTATCCAGCAACGCAGTAGGCACACCATGCTCAAGACCAATGGGCTCCATGTAATCAATCCATTGCAACGACTCATGCAAGTGCTTTAGCCAAGATTGCTCTTTCCGTAGAAGGGCCCACAAGGACCTGGGACCACATCGCAAGAGGCGGCCGTAATATCTGGCTCTTTCCACATAAAGGATGTGATCCGGACGGAGAAAAAGCAGCTTGTTGCACACCTCGTCATCCGTCGTGTTTTTCGTATGTCTCCGGAACAGGGCACAAAAAAGGCGGCGGTATAGGGACATAACGCAAGTGCGATAACGAGCAGCCTCACTGGCCCGACTGAAAACCCAAGTGCCAGCATGATGCAAGAAAGATCGCAAAACTTGAGAACAGAACACCTGCTTTTTGGTTTTCAGAGGGAGAGCAGGATTGCGAAACACATCCTTGCAAAGCTGTCTGAAAGATTCATGGGCTATGGCGTTTCTCTTTCGCAGCTCAGGGGTCATGTCGCCATCCCACTTCAACAGAGTGCCAAGGTGCACATATCTATCGGTCACTCGCAATGTTTGGCTTGGCTCACCGGACACAAGGATTTCACAGCCTTGGTCGATAAGGACCTTGCGGCGGACAGCCCTGGAATTGCGGCCATACAAGCAAAACATGCACTCACTTTTACCCTGCTTCATGTTCATTTTAATGCCAATGTTTTGGAGTCTGCGGCGGCAGCGATCAGCCACGACCGGCACAAGTTCAGCAAGCTGTTCAGGGCATGGATGGGTGATCAACAAAGCAATGTCATCAACCCAAGTCGGAATAGGGATTTCACATTCTGCGTCGCCATCATTCAACAAACAAGCGGCGGCACCAAGGTCACGCAAATCCTGATGCAAGCGATCCAGAAAAAACGAAAAACCCACTTGGAAACACAAGTCCGCAAGAGGGCCACCAGGAGACGCCCCCGAGGTGGTATGGATCACTTTAGGGCTTCCACGAGCCCGAAACCAAGTAGTGCTCATGGCATCACGCAATCTCTGAACAACATGGGGGGGCAAACCAGTAACCTCCTCGCGACGCAGGGCGCAGATCAGTTCCAACATGTCTTCCTGCCGCTGAGGGTCATCTGTCATGGCCTGAACAAAAGCGCAGGCTGCAGACGTCGACTCGCCCAAAATGACTTGCCGAAACACCGCGTAAAACGCATCTTGTCCGTCAACAAATAAGATAGCAGCAGGGAACTTTGCGCGCTTGGCGTATCTAATGAAGGAAGCAACCAAATGGTGGGGCATTTCAGTGGAAATCCCGGGCCGAGCGCCACATTGCATGTCTTGAGCGCGCCAATGCTCACGAATCTCAGCTCGGAGCAGTTTCTGGTAAATCTTAGCAGCAGTATCATAAAGCATGATATTTCGCCAAGACTTGGGGTGGGTCAAATCAGCACCAGGCTTAGGTGTAGGCACCACTTCACCGCCCAGCCACTGCAGTCGGGGCTCGTGTCGAAGCCATGTCTTCAAAAGAACCGGCATCAGAACAGCTGTCGCAGCGCGTGGAGCAACTTTATACAACTCACCGGGGATGCCATCCATGCCGACAGCCTTGTGAGACTGCAGCTCTCTACAAGCTGACTCAACACGATACCATGTGGGAACACTATGCAAATCCGAGCAGCCTTGCAACAAGCCAACATCAGAAGCATGAGCGTGAGCAAGGGTCAACGCTTCTCCAGTCACTTCCAAACCACGTTCAACACACGCGTAGTGCCCAGCAAGAACATCAACAGCTTCAGCGCGGCACCTGACGGATGTACCATCTGGCCGCTTAAGTGCTTGGATGGCATTAGGCCTGCGCGCTTTGCGACTTCCCGTCATTTGCCGCAAACAAGCATGGAAAGCCCGAGGACCAAGCGCAAACTGGTTAGCAACAAGTTGCAACACAAAGTCAGCCTTGTCTTTCACAAGTGCCTTTTTGAGGTCTTTGGTCGTACTGTGAATTCTGTAAGAGGCGACAGCAATAGCCTTATTCATGCGCTTGATGAAGGACGGCAAGCTTTCACGACGCACGACATGTTGACCATGGGTCCACTCACGCCAACGCACAAAAACAGAAGCCAATCGAGTAACGTGTACAGCTTTGTGGAAACAATGAATGTCTCGGCGGGCAGCGCGACGTTTTTGGATAAGCTGCCAAGTTTCATGGCCAACGCATGACTTCCTTGGTCGACGCTGTGGCCGCGGGAATTCCTCTTTCAATCGCTGCAAAATGAAGCCTGACACCCGTGACCAATGATCGGTGCTATCAGTAGCCCAGGGGATGGCAGGCACAGAATCAAGAATTTGCTCACACTTTACGCGCCCTTCCTTTGTCAACATCTGGCCAACATCCAAACCGGGATCCAACTTCCGACAAGAGCTCACAGTACACTCATGCTCACCCAGGGTCGTAAAGGTCAAGGGCACATGGTCAGTCATGCTCATGCAGTTTTCAAACATGTCAAGAGTTTCAATGGCGCTGTCCGGCCCACTCCAGTTATGGGGCAACATGATGTAATCCAAACACGCTTGCGCATTGTTAGGCCCCTTCCAAGTGATGATCGGCTGACCACTCTGATCAAAAGAGGCCGACAACACTGCCTTCTTTGACTTGACCACACCAGCCAACCTCAGTGCGTTTGGATCAGCGGGGTGAGTCAAATCGTGATGAGAGCGACGATTGAAAAAGCGACCGTTAGCATCAAACAAGCCAACAACAGGAGTATCAGAATGTATCTCAGCAAGCGCTTCCTCAAGTTGGTCCCACCACGCATTGCAAGCTTCATCCGTGTGATCACTGTTGCTCAACGCATGCCCAACGACAAACGCAACAGTAACGGTGTCTGCCTTTACCGTAGTTAGTAACAAGCGTGGGGTCGCAACATGGATGCAAACAGAAGTGAAATCCCAGGAAACGTTGCGTGCCTCATCTTGAAAAAAAGGGATCCGTTTACTGAGCCACAGTTCACATCCTCCAACACGCCTGTCATCAGCAGCAGAAACAACGCGCATGTACGCACCAACGCTCGAGAGGCCAGTTTGCTTTCCACGAGCCTCTTGGATGCCAACAACAGCACAGCCCGACTTGTGAAACTGCTCAGCTGTTAAACAAATCTTGCCTTCTTCCCTCAGGGTCATTGCGTTGTAAGTCACACACTTCCCGACAACGCGAAAAGACCGCCGCGCGCTTGCATCAGCAATGCCTATGGGAGCAAAATGCCGCGGCGCAGACAAACTTGAGAGTTGTCGGGGTTCAACAAGAAAACAAGATCGCGAATCATGCTTGATCACGGGGGGGTACATGGGCAAATCACCATCTCTCAACGAGGAAACCCACATCCAGTGCCAACTATCCTCAGGGAAAACGAAAGAGTCAAGCAAAGAGGGGTCATGCTGCCACGCAATCAGGTTTGAGTCAGGACGTACGGCGTTCGCCAACACGTCAGCACATTCGTTCCACGCGTGCGAATTATGCGCGCGAACATGAGTCAAGCACAATGAGCGGCGGTTGTGAGCATGCAAAACAAGCGAGCGCACAAAGCCGGCCAGCGGATTGTCAGCAGCAGCATTGGCCAGGCCAGCTGCTGAGAAGCCGGCGGTTTCGGAGTCAAAGGAAATCTCAACAGCAACACCAGTCGGGAGACTACAAGCCAAGAGAGCCGCGAAAAAAAGGGCCATGTGCTCTGCAATGGCTGCGCTGAGTTTAGGCTTGGGCCAAGGAAAGCGCGGGTCAAGGCTCACGTTCCCACTAGCAACTCCAAGGCGCACAAGCTTGGGTTCATGGCTAGGTAAGCGACCGGGTAACGCTTGCACCTCACCAAGTGCGACAAGAGCCCAAGTGGCGCTTTCAGTCCCGTCCTTTTGCCGTTTGAATGACCCATCAGTAAACAAGTGCACCTTTGCAATATCCTCACATGTCCACAGTGGAGTGACTTCAAGGGCCGCGACAGTAGCTGCGTGCCAAATCACATGGTCAGGAAGCGACTGGCTCAACATGTCAACAGTGAACGCCCTCTCAACAGCATGTCCCGTCTGAGGCTGAAAAGGAATATCAACAAGTCTGTTTTGGTGTTCCAAAGACACAAAATTAAAGGAATCTTCAACAAAACAAGCAACGTTGGCATTGCAAATCTCAGAATCTCTGCTAAACAAAAATGGAGGGGAAAAATCCTTGGCCAGTGGCTGTACAGTGTGGCTGGAACCCCTCAGTTCATCTACTGGCGCACGGTTCCGGTAGCTCTGGCAGCTCAAATCATCTTCGTCATGACCAGGAATCAGGTGATCAAGGACCAAGATTACCGGCTTGCCCCGGCTCTGCTCTGCAAGACCCATAGCAGCGCAAGCATCATTCAAACTGTTGAGATCATCAGATACCACAACGGGTTCAACCGGCACTGCGCAGCTGTCCATGGCAGCAACGGCATCTGAAACTACAACCCAACTAGTATCACTACAGGGGGCCTGGGGCTGGCCAACGTTTGCTATGCTCACATAGCTTTCGCCGACCCTAGGTCGGGATTCAGCACTTTCTTGTATGTTTTGTTCTTGGCCCATTGGCTCTTTTGTCCTTTTCTTACCCACGCCATCTTGGGGGCAGTGGGATTTTCCATTCAAGACATCTAAGCCTAAACGGATCCTTTCACAAAAGCAGAGCACACGGTCAACGTGCACTGCGAAGGAAAGGTCGACTGCTCTTTGGCCGGCTTGAAACACACTCAGGAATGTGGGATCACCGACGATGGTATGACAAAATTGATGAACCCAAGCTTCACAAGTGGTAAGACCGCGCTGTAATATCCTATCTTTACAAGAAAACTTCACAGGCACTAAACAATCAAGGCAATTGCCAAACCCTGTAGCAATTGGCAAGTTAGGCTGGAAGAATCTTAATTCCAGATGGTGTGAAAAATCAACCCTGCGATTGCGTCGAGGCCCGTCACTGGCATGCTCATGTTGCGCAACTTCACCAGCAGGAGCATGAGAACCACAGCTTAGGCCTATCCAAAAACTGCCGTGGACTCGTTGTCTTGAGTCTTTTGGCGCTTCTGCATCGGTGCTTCTTTGAGTAACTCCATGCAGTCCATCAGAGCCTTCTGCATTGTGCCAACTGTCACATCCAAATCCTGGTAGGCAATTTCTGGTCTCTTGACGCTCTTTGTCCTTGGCGTATCCGCTGCTTCTTCTTCGTCCGCATCTTCTTCCATCTCTGCCTTCATATCTTCGTATGCCTGAAGTGCTGCAGGGGACAATTCGCTGGGCATACCTCCGCGGTCGGACTCCATCAGCTCTTCGATAGCCTGTCTGGCTTGGTGTATCTCGGCAAGGCAGCTCATCTCGGCTTCCGCAAGCTGCTGCATGGTGGACTTGAAGATGGCTATGTTCTCTTTGAAACGCTCGGTGGACTTTTCGAGGTAGTCTTTCCAAGCCTCCATGTGCTGAGCCCTGCCCTCCTGGACCTGAGCCAACCTCTTCCGAGCCCCACCAAGAGCTGATGCCGACTTGTGGAGCTCTTTGGTGGTGAGCTTGTGCTTTTGTTTGTCGTACTTGGCCACAATCTCTCGCACAGCTACCGGAGCTTGACCAAAATCTGTGCAAGTCTTCAAAGCATCGATCAGCGTTTTGAAGTCGCTGGCTTGTTGGGAAGAAGCGGGAGCTGTCGCTGGGGCCGAAGCTTGAGCATGGCCATAGGCAGGAGGCCAAACATGCGGTGGCGGCACAAAGTCTGCCTGACTGTATGCCGGGGGAGGCGCGACTTGGCTTTCTAAGCTTGTTGGCCCTTTCCCTGCATCTTTGGCTTTTCCTTTTGCCATGCCTTTTGCATGGTTCTTTCCCTTGCGCTCCCTCCCACGAGGTGTGGGAGTACGTCGTGGCGACCTGGGTCGCGGCCACTGGTTCCATGGCTGCCATGATGCCTCCGCTCCATAAGATGATCCACGATGCCACGAAGTAGGATGGTCCCATCCAACTCCACACTGATTGCAAAAATTGGCTGATTGCTTGTTCCATTGCCGGCAGCCACTGCATTGCCACGACATTGGTAGGGTGTACCTTGGTCGTGTATGATGGGATTCCAAATAGTCAGCAGTCTGCCTCAATGTTGACAATGGCACTTCAAGGCCAAGATGTCGGGCTGCAATTATCTGTGCACGCCCAATGGATCTTCGTCGTCGGAGGTTCCGATGCCAGGTTGGTTCACGCCACAAACTCGTGATTGGATACAAGGGCACAAGTGAAAGAGTAGGGAGGTATACGAAGAAACCTCTAAGGCTTCTTTTGAACCGAAACCTTAAGATGGATCACGGAAATCACTTGTAATATTTGCATTTGGGATCTTCGTCTGTTGATGAACCAAGATCAACTCTGCCTTGAAACCTTCCCTTTCCCTTCTGTCTCGGCAGCTAAAGCTCCGCTCCCCGCGGCCTCGACCGGATTGATCCGCCCCGAGGCGCGACGCCTCTCTACATTGCGGCCCAAAAGGGCCATTGGGAGGCGGCGCAGCGGCTCATCGACGCCAGGGCCGATCTCGAAGCCAAGGGTGATGGTGGTCCGGGCGCCTGGGAAGGACTGGGAGAACCTCAAGAAGAGGGTCTGTTGTGGCAAGCAAAGAGAGCTGCAATGTTTATGTTTGATTTTGATTCTGTTTCAGTTGTGAGTTGTATGGCATTCAGTTGAAATTCTCAAGGCTTTCAAGCTTAGGACCTTCACCTGCGGTCTTCACCTCCCTTCCCCTTCTGTCTTGCTGCGACTAATGCTCCATTCCCTGCGTCCCGACCGGATTGATCCGCCCCGAGGTCGGACGCTCCTCCACTGGGCGGCCCGTGAGGGCCACTGTGAGATGGCGCAGCGGCTCATCGACGCCAGGGCCGATCTCGAGGCCAAGGACCTTGCTGGTCGGGGAGCCTGGGAAAGGAGGTCTGTGGTGTCGAAGAAGGGGTGCAAAGCTGCACAGATGCAGGTTTGTTAAACACGAGCCCGGACATGTTTTCATCGGGTCGGAATGCGTCTAAGCTCCTTCGTGCAACTGCTTTGGTGAGAATAAAGACTTCAGACACCACCAACTGACTGAAAGTCACGTCCTTTCACCTCAAAGTTGACATTCGACTCGTGCAACTTGGGGACTGGAAGATACAGATGGATCACGGAAATCACTTGTAATTGCAATGGATTGGGATCTTCGTTTGTTGATGAACCCAAATCAGAATCTCGATGCCTTGAAACCTTACCTTTCCCTTCTGTCTCGCCGCGGCCAAAGCTCCGCTCCTTACGCTGTGACTATCAAACACATCAATCAAGCAAGCTCACCGCCTCAGAATTCCCTGCTGTCTTTTCCGTCACTGCCAATGCTCGGCTTCCTACGCTGTTGTGGCATCCAAAGAGAGCTGCAGTTGTGAGTTGTATGGCATTCAGTTGAAATTCTGAATGTTTTCAAGCTTAGGACCTTCACCCTCTTCTGCGGTCTTCCCCTCCCTTCCCCTTCTGTCTCGCCGCGGCGAATGCTCCACTCCCTGCGTCCCGACCGGATTGATCCGCCCCGAGGTTGGACGCCCCTCCACTGGGCGGCCCGTGAGGGCCACTGTGAGATGGCGCAGCGGCTCATCGAGGCCAGGGCAGACCTCGAGGCAAAGGGCCCTTTGGGCCGGGGATCCTGGGAAAGGAGGCCTGTGGTGTCGAAGAAGGGGTGCAAAGCTGCACAGATGCACCAGGTTGTTAAACATGAGCCCGGACATGTTTCATCGGGTTGGAATGTGTCTAAGCTCCTTGGTGCAACTGCTTTGGTGAGAATAAAGACTTCCGACACCACCAACTGACTGGAAGTCACGTCCTTCCAAGCAGCCCCAAAGCCTCAAAGTTGAAATTCGACTCGTGCAACTTGGGGACCGAAAGATAGAGTAAAGATGGATCACGAAAATCACTTAGTAATCTCTTGCAATGAATTTGGGATCTTCGTCTGTTGATGAACCAAAATCAACCAGAGAATCTCGATGCCTAGAAACCTTCCCTCCCCCTTCTGTCTCGCCGCAGCCAAAGCTCCGCTCCCCACGCTGTGACCGGGTTGACCCGCTCCGAGGTCGGACGCCACTCCACTGGGCGGCCCGTGAGGGCCACTGTGAGATGGCGCAGCGGCTCATCGACGCCAGGGCCGATCTCGAGGCCAAGGACAACCATGGCCCGGGCGCCTGATTTTGATCAATTGAGGAACACGGTTTGCAAACATCGTTTATGCGTGACTCTGATCCTGTTTGTGCAACAGCTTTGTTAAGCATTTTTGGAACACAGGGCATTCACTAAAAATTCGGAATCGTTCAAACTTTAAGATGCTGGGTGAACCTGCCAGGACTGAAGAAGGTTTCTTACTGTTCACGTGCCTGCCCGTGGGTGCCTCATGGTGGCCGCTGCACTGAGGCAAAACCCCATGGGACGTGGCCAAAAAGAAGAGAAGAGAGAAGGTCATGGGTGTTTTGCGCCCTGTGCCTCGTCAAAGCAAATGAAGCCTGCAGACGGGTCAGTCTAGGGGCGGTGGTTGGTCTGAGAATATATGAGGCGAACTCTCATGACTTGGTGAGGAGTTGATGGATGTTTCATGGTGTTTGTGCTATTGTTTCGTGACAGATCACCAGTAGCAAATCCAGTACCGCTGCCAAGTTTCAGTGCGACCTTGCTTCACTCCTGAATACATGTTGTTCCATCACAATCACAGTCAGGCACATCTCTTCAACACATTCTTGCTTTCAGGGCTGGAATACCTTTGAGCTTGTGGCAAAGCCTAAGTTGTTTGTTAAGCCATAAAGCTTCTTCAACAACCCAACCGCATCAAGGGAAGGTTTAGGGAGTCACCCAAGTCGTAGTTTCTACCATGGCAAACTGCCGAGGTCCAGGTGGGCCTGCTGAGTGGTCGCACGGTCCGATGCAACTTGGCTCCAAGTCAAATGGATTGACTCGGGGCATCATCCGCTTGAATCTTTCCACAGGCACCCCCTCAACTGACGGTGGATTGAGTGAGACTGTGTGCTTTCCTCACATGTTGTTTCAAGCTTGCAGATTGTTGAACAATTTGCCGCTAAGCTGTAACCCACTACTGCGGCAGTTTGGTGTTTGCTCGTGATTTTTTTCTTCCCGCCCAATCTGTACTGTTTGGGAACGCCCAACGAGGTGAGATGGGTTTCTTTTCCTTCAAGAAGTGAGATGTGAGTTGCTCACCGTGAGGTGACCCGAATCCCTGTCGCAATGTTCGCGAGCTGCGAGAAGAAGCCCAGCAACTTGGCAACGAGTTGGTTGACAAGTCAGCGAGGAAGGTGGATAAGGTGAACTGTCTCTTCAGAAAGTCTTGTGTTTCGGCAGACAAGCTGCTTGCTTTCGACAGTGGACATTTTGCCGGTGCTCTTCTTGAATACACCAGTTTTCCTCGTGACCCGCCTTTGCATGGGCTCATATGTTTGTCTTCGCAGGTGTGCCAGCCTTAGGTGCCTTCATGACGAACTAGCGAAGTGTGTACGCGCTGGTTCCGTGGATTTGTTATACACTCTGACTCGCTAACATGGAAGAGGAAAATGGTCCCTTGAAAGACTACTTTCCTTTACGGATAGGGGGTTTTCCACTTCCATGTTAGTGAGTCGGAGTGTACACAAGGTTTCTTCAATACAAGGTTAGTTGAATCAGCTTGTGTGTAGCTTGAACATTCGTTAATGTTGGCCACTAATGAGTCGATCCTGTATACGTGATGGTGCAGCACTCATGGTAAAGCTCTGGCCTTCTGTATCGTGGGTGTTTCAGTCCAAAACTCAGTCGTCAAGCCTGGCCTGGCCGAGGTCTAAGCTCGGCACTGAGATCCGGCAGCTTCTCACGAGCTCTGGACAGACACCGTGCGTCCTGCATGTTTTGAGTTGCGCCGCAGGCTTTTGGCCGAGTTGAATCCACAAGCCAGTGGCATTTCTTACCAGTAACCATTCAACACAGAACACGCTTGAGGCGCGGTAACACTGCTGCCAAAATCACAATGTTCACCTCTGAGGTACATCGTGGAGATTCCAAGACTGACCTGGAGATTTGAGAAGGTTGATGGTGGATAAAGGGAGATTTTGAAAAGCAACATCATAGCTTTGCAGCCAAGGGTTGTTACTTGAAGGGCACGTGCTTGGTGAATCCTGTTTCAGCACTTTGCCCTGCCAGGCAAGAAGATTTGATGCTTGCAGATGCTGGCATCGACTACGGCGACTTCGTTCAAGCCATTTTGGCCTCACAGCTGCACCAGCACGAGAGACGGTTAGTTTCAATCCGCTCCAACAGTCTCCCAAGGGTGCCTCGAAGAAGTCTAGGTTCAGAGCCACAGCGTTTTGCCCATTCGAGGTCAATGAAGATCAGGCGCAGCCGGATGACAAGGTGAGCCTGCAATTGTTGCATGCTGAGCCATACGGTCGTGTTGCTGGTGGATGGCTCGGTTGATGTGGACGTTCCAACACATCTCGTTCCAACAACGGGCTGCTGTGGACGTTTGTGACACATGTCACATGTCACATATATCCTTAGTCATTCTCAATTGTGTTCCACTTTCTCTTGAAGAGGTGAACGAGGGATGATTGCATGCAAGTTAATCATTGAGTGAGCCACACTTTTGCTCCGCCAGGCATCTTCGGATCCTGCGAGCCAGGCTTCAGTGCAGCTCCCAGAAAGCTTCTCAAGTACTTTAAGCTTGGTATGATGATCCCGGAGTGATCTTGGTTGGCCAAGGGGCTGGTCTCCTAATGAAGTATGAGCATGGAAGGATAGGGGATGACTGATGCATGGTGAGTTCTCCAGCCTTATTGGGGATGCTTTTGACACTCGGCTCTCCGGTTCAGGTGCCAGGAGCATCAGCACAAGAAGGCTGCGGATTGGATTGCAGATTTGAACAGACTTGATGATTTTCAGCTGCTGCTGTGCAGATCTTTCACTCTCCCTTGCAGCTCCTTCTCGCGGCAAGGACGTGCAATCCTTAGATTTGGGCTTTCCCTCAACTGATTTTTGACCTCCTCAGTTGGTCCAATATGACCCCTGAGAAGCTGAGGCCAAGGTCAGAGACGAGCAGAGCAGTTGATATGTTGAAGGTCGGGCATCTCATGTGACTCGGAGGAGATGTGGCTCTGTTTTGGGTGCCAAGAGACCCAAACCTGGCCTCAGATTTCGACCGTTCGGATTGTTGATTAGTTGGGGTTAAGTTCCGTGGGAGTTTTGAGGTTCGTTGTACCTGGGTATTTCAAGCGTCCATTTTCTTTCAATTCGACCTCCGCTGGCGCATCCCTGGCGCATCACAGAAACTGTGTGGGGCATGAGGGCAACCAGCAAGCTCATGCCAACATGCCTCCAATGTGAAACAAGAGAACATGCGATTTGGCTGTGGAGCAACACATGCTGTTGCTCAGTAGGGAGCTGACGGTCGTCGGGTCGTTCGGGGGTATCCATATTCCCCAAACAGGGAGCCATCAGGAGCTACAGGGAGTCCCCCAACTCCTTGCTAGCACAAAACACAACTTCGGTTTGTCAGAGTTTGTGAAGGTCTACCGATAGACTCGGCCCTATCAATCCGACAGTGATTGTTGAGGTGCGCCAGGTGCGCCCCTGGGAGTGCGGGGTGTTGTGATCTCAGTTAGCCACTATACTTGTCTTGTTGATTGACAACATCCTGCACTTCCCGAGTACACCAGCTTCTGGACATATATATATATATATATAAATACACATACACTGGGACTGTCTCGTTTCTAGGCAGACTCGGAGGGTAGAACTGGTGCACGATGGGTTCCACAAAGCTCATTTTTCGACTTGACCAGAGCGTGGGAACAGTCATGTCCGACGGGAAGGATGGATCGATGTGGTGAGCAACCGAGGGCATTTTGCAAGGGGGCTTGGTCTTGGGGCTTCGGGTAGAGACCACGGTTGGTCTTGGGGCTTGAGGTTGGTCTTGGTTGCTTTACAAGGGGTATAGGATGCAGGATAGAGATTTAGAATGATTTCAAAGCCCTCAGAGACTTCTCAGAGACTTCTCACGATGACTATCCCAGCGCACCGGTTCATCTCATCATAAGGGGCAGAGGACAAATCCATCGATCCCAGCAGTGACCGACATTTTCTATGAGACTTGGTCCTTATTTTCCAACTGAGAGGTGGGACGGCAAACTTTTTCCCAGTCGGTTCGATCGTGAGTCAGATTCTAGCTCTTACCATTCAATCTGCATGTGGATCGAACCACTCAATCGGACACCGTCATTGAAGTGGGTAGATATTGACAAACTGTCACGAGCCATCAAAACACAGCATCAATCAGCAGCACAACTATATACCTAGCACTTCCAACAGGTTCCCAAAGGAGACCTGTAAGTAGGGTGGGGTAGTCTATTGGACACCCATTGGATGATCCTGGTATGAAGTGTTCTTGTTTTCTGACTTGTCCAATGGGCTCTTCGTCTGGAACGGCACGCCAGGTAGATGAGAGACCTGGATGAGCCCTTGATCGAGTGGATGCCTTGCCCGAGGGACAGACGGAATGCAAGACGACCTAAGGATTTTTGGATGATGTTTGCATAGGGAGTTTCTCTCCATCAACAAGCTGTTCTTCTTCGCTGACATCGATTCGGGAAGGTAAAGAGAGACGTGCACAACTCTACTTCACACAGGGCTGTTGTTCTTTCGCTGTTGGGATGTTGGATGTTGGATAATGTTTGCATAAAGAGTTGTTCTACCATCAACCAGCTGTTGCTCTTCACTGACTAAAGCGGTACAGAGAGACGTGCGCGAGTCTACTTCACACAGAGGGCAACCCTTGAGTCAGGGGCAGGTCCACGTGCATTCGCACAGAGCCTGAAACTGGCACCTTTAGATGCTGGGCTTCATCTTCTGCACGCCGACGCTTTTAGATGCATAATTAATATTTTCCTTGAAGGCTGATTTTGATTTTGCGGCATATGTCATATGCCTGAAGAGCCATCGCAAGAAGAAATGAATGTGCAGCATGACAACGACAACAGGCCACACAGTTGAGAGATGTCTAAGGTACAAAGTTGGCAATTCAGCCTTTAAGGTTTGCCTGTAAAGTTTTCAGGCTGCGGCAGCTGCGGCTCAGTGCGCCATAGGCGCAAGAACAGATGAGAGCATGGCGTGCCCAAAAAGGGGCCTTGCAGCTGATGCCACTGGAACTTGAAACGGATAAGCTTGCCAGACAGGGCATTGAAGCGCATGTTTCACCAGATAGCTGAAAGCTACAGGGTGGAGCATCGGCATTTTGGGTCTACCGCTGCCGCTGCTGCCTTGTCTCCCCATTTGTCTCCTCACTCGTCTCCCCACTTGTTTGCCTGTGTGATGTTTTGTCTGCTGTTGCTGCTGCTGCTGCTGCCTCCTTTTCTCAGATGCTTCTGCTTTTAGAGTTAGTTGCTATGTGGGGTCTAAGCCGGTGCAATGATTTTGTTGTCTCAATCAATGCCCCATTTAAGGGAACGTTCCCAGGTGGAGCCCAGCCACACATATCTTCAGGTCTTTTCCGCATCACTAAAGCTATTCAATAGATTTGATGATAGATTGGTTTATATATTTGATCGAATCCTCTTGGCATGGGTCGCAGTTCTGCCACAGTGATGTCCTAAAAACCGGCCCTTGCCGGAGCAGAGGTGACGCTGCTTCAAATCCAGGCAGAGAGATGTTTTCTTGGTTGAAATCTTTTGGACCATTGGCACCAACGACCTGGCCTAAGGGTACTGTATAGCACTGTCAAGTCCATTTGACAGAGTCACAGGAAAAAATGCATGAAGGGTAAGAAGATTGACAGCTTAGCAGTTAGCAGTTGTCATTACCAAGTCTTCTACTTTTTCAGCAAAGCAGTTCTTTGATATCAGTCGCCATGCAAGCGGCTTCGCACTCCCTTGGCAGCGAAACCATCCCTGGACCATGGCGAGATGGCATCTTGGTTGATGACTTCGGTGAGGTCTTTTTTGACGGTGCCCTGCAAGATGACACCCAATTTGTCATGGGGGAAGCCTGTCATGAGCTCAACACTTGACCGGGAAGTGAGAGAACAAGCCGCTGCCCTCGTTAAACATCGAACAAGCCCTGCGAGCCAAGCTGCCAACATCACTCCTGTGAACCTCAAACAGAAAGCATGTACTCTCTACCACTCGCAGGCCTGAGCTTCCGCTGTATGGAAATGTTCTTTCTCACGTGAAGTCCTGTACCGATACTGGCATTCCTATGGGGATATGGCGAGGCATGATCATAACTTGGAAGTGAACAATGTGCTCACCAAATAAACCTCGTCGAGAGCAAGCAGCTTCAGCTTCTCCTGGATGTTCTCAACAAAGCTTCGCATCCTCTTTCCCGTCAATGCATGGCTAGCGAGCCCTTACACAGCAAAGAAAGAGTAGATATAAGAGTCCCATAGCATCCTCTCTTTCAGATGCTTTATCATCCACTTGGCCATTGGATGCACCTGCATTATACACTATGCATGCATTTGCTGCGCCATTGGACGGCTCGATCGCCCGCAGCGCGGCCCGAACGAACACGAGCCCAGTCCTGGCGGCCCAGTGGACCCTAAACCATGCAGCCGCCGGGCGTGCTTTGACGTTGATTCTCAGATTGGCTGTGGGGTCAGAACCAGGGATATACCTGGGTTGACCTACCTGAGAGGTCCTTCGCTACAGGGTGTGTCGGAGCTCTGTAAGTTTTTGACGCATCCCCATCTTCTGGTATTTGGAAAATGGGGACATGCACAACTGGCGGAAAGCCTTCGGATTCCCAAACACTGTCTGTATATGGATTCATTCCAGGAACCATTGTGGTACCTAAGTTCAATTCCTCTAGATCTAGAATCCAAACATGTTTGCAGCTGACTAACTATTCCCCAGTTCCGACCAATGCTCCGAAGCACTTCCGACATACTTCCCTTTCCGCGGCTCAAGCCGCATCCGTCGGCCGTGGCACGGCCGTGGCCCTTGGTCCATCCGAAGCACTTTGTCCGGATCATTCCCACAGCTGTGCAGGCTGTGCCGTTCAGCATGAACAGAAGCGGTGCAGAATCGACTTCGGACAGAGATCCGACTCCGGACGCCGAACACTGGAACGAACCGAAGATGTGCAAGTCGAAAAGGTGGGTTGGTCCAAAGGATGGAGATCGTGAACGCCACAACCCGAAGAAGAATCCGCCATGAAAACGTCGCCTCGGACGTAGGACCGTACTCCACTGGCGTACTCCCCCGTTCGCGCCGGCAATCCAGCGGAGATATAGGAGCGAGGCGTTTCTCTGCAGGGAAGGCACATCCATGTGCCGCCAGCCTTGCCAAGAACCTTACAGCTCCCAACCCAGCGCTGAATGTCAGTCACTGAATGCGGGGAGTGCACTCAGTTTTTGCCACAGAGGAACATACTCATTGGAACATATAGTATTTGCCGAAGACCGCGGAAAGAACGAAACGAAGCTGAGGGGTAAGGTTGGTTTGGGGGAGTGTCAGCGTTAAGGCCACATCACGTGTCTCCAAGTGCGTATGGACCGTATGGACCCTTCTTTGGACCGAGGCACGCAGTGTTGATCGCCAACACCGGCCACGGCCGAAATGCTCTACGCCACGCGGTGCGCGACGCCGAGCTGGTGGGCCGAGCGCTGCTGCGCTGCGGCTTCTGCGCCACAAAGCAGGACCTGCACATGGTCCTGAACCAGACGGGTGGCTTCGCTGCAAAGGACCGTTTTCGGATGACTTCCGATAGGGGGGCTCATGTTTATGTAATGACTCTTGAGTAGTAAACCCTACCCCCAATTGAATCGAAACACCTCTTCATATGGGGTTTATGAATCAAGAGTCTACAAGACGTTACAAGTCGTGCACTAGGTATAGATACTGGTACCGCTGGGTACCTGATTGGTCTGGCATCGGGCATCAAGTCCAGTGAGAGTCGTGACCCACTGCCACTCTGTGGCCATTTGTCTCGCTCCGGTCTTTGCGGATGGTGAGTTGTTTGCTGACGACCTAGTGACCACAGCGGCACTACGAACTGTGCCAACAGAGGACATGAACCCACTTTGGGTTGGCCCGTTCCAGTTCCTTTTGAGCTCCA